ATCTGCTGACTCCTGCTCTGGACTCTCGCTCCTGAAAACGTGGTCTAAAACACCAGCAGCATCAGTGTTACCTGTGAGCCTGTTAGAGGGAATATTGGACCTCTTTAAGGCTGACTTCCCTAGAGTCTAGACCATGCTTTTCTTTTTTTTTTTTTTTTTTTTTTTTTTTTATTTCTTGACAGAGGCAGAGTGGACAGTGAGAGAGAGAGACAGAGAGAAAGGTCTTCCTTTGCCGTTGGTTCACCCTCCAATGGCCGCCGCGGCCGGCGCGCTGCGGCCGGCGCACCGCGCTGATCCGATGGCAGGAGCCAGGAGCCAGGTGCTTTTCCTGGTCTCCCATGGGGTGCAGGGCCCAAGCACCTGGGCCATCCTCCACTGCACTCCCTGGCCACAGCAGAGGGCTGGCCTGGAAGAGGGGCAACCGGGACAGAATCCGGCGCCCCGACCGGGACTAGAACCCGGTGTGCCGGCGCCGCTAGGCGGAGGATTAGCCTACTGAGCCGCGGCGCCGGCCTTAGACCATGCTTTTCAAACTCTTACATGCATAGGAATCACCTGAGGATCCTATGAAAGTACAGGCTCTGAGGTAGTGACCGCAGAGAGGCAAACGTGGGTAGGACCCAGTCAATATCCTCAGTGAGCCCACAATCTATTAGGAGAGACTGCTATATAATCAAATACTTACCATGCGGACTGAATGAGTATCTTCTGCATAGCAGTGTTACAAAGGAGGAAGTGATTGATTCTGCCTGGTGTGGATGGAATCCTCAGAGAGCCCTGGGAGCTGGCTCAGGTAGAGGTGGGTGGGGTATGTGAGCAGAGTCTTGAAACTCACCACAGGCACTGAAGCATTGGAGTAAGCATGGTGGTTCATGGTGGAGACCGTGAAGGTTATGTAGAACTAAGAGTTACTTGATTTAATGATGAGGTTGCTAGCTAATCACAGGGTTAGAGACGCACTAAGATCATAATGAATATAATTTAATTTCATTATACCATTTATTTGAAAAAAGGAGAACTTGTCTATATTTGCCTTTTTTAAAAATTATTTTTCAGTTTTTTTAAGATTTATTTATTTAAAAAGGAGAGTGACAGAAACAGAGAGAAATAGGCATTGATCTTTCATCTGCTGGCTTACTCCCCAATGGCCACAGCAGCGGGGGCTGGGCCATTTCAAAGTCAGGAGCCAGGAACTTCATCTGGGTCTCTCATGTGGGTGACACTTGGGCCATCATCTGCTGCCTTCCCAGGCTCATTAGCAAGGAGCTGGGTTGGCTCTGTATGAGATGGGTAGCTTAACCTGCTGCAACACAGTGCTGCCTCCACCTATTTTTAAAAGAAGATAGGTCCCTAAAAAGTATATGTTCTCCAGCAGTATGAACTTTTGCATCATTACAAATTTATAAAGCACTGAAAGGTACAGGTAGAAGATAAAAATTATTTATAATTCTATATGCCAAGAGATGACTGCTGCTAAAATTTTGCGTTTCCCTTTCAGTCTGGTTTTTTTTTTTTTTTTTTAAGATTTATTTATTTATTTGAAAGGCAGGTACAGAGAGGAGGAGAGATATTTGGTTCACTTCCCAAATGGCCATAATGGCTGGGGTTGAGCCAGGCCACAGCCAAGAGCCAGGAGCTTCTTCCAGGTCTCCCATGTGGGTGGTAGAGGCCCAAGGACTTGTGCCATTTTCTGCTGCTTTCCCAGGCACATTAGCAGGGAGCTGGATCAGAAGTGGGGCGGCTGGGACTCAGGTGCCCATATGGGATGCTGGCACCAGCACCACAGGTAGCGGCTTAACCAGTTGTACCACAGCTGTGCCATGGTGCTAGCCCCAGTCTGTTGCTGCCTTTTTTTTTTTTTTTTTTCCATAAAGATTTATTTATTTATTTGAAAGCCAGAGTGACAGAGAGAAGGGGAGAGGCAGAGAGAGAAAGAGAGGGACAGATCTTCCATTCACTGATTCACTCTCCAGATGGCTGCAACAGCCAAGGCTGGGTCAGGGCAAAGTCAGGATCCTGGAACACAATCCCAGTCTCTCATGTGGATGGCAGGGACCCAAGTACTGGGGCCATCATCTGCCGCCTCCCAATATATGTACAAACAGGAAGCTGGATTGGAAGTGGAGTAGCCAGGACTTGAATCAGCACTCCAATGTGGGATGTAGATATCTCCAGCCATGGCTTTATCTGATGCCTGCACCTTTTCAGTTTCCTTTATATAATCTTTTTAAGATTGGGCGTAGTGGCTAGTGCTGTGGCATAGCAGGTAAAGCTGCCACCTGCAATGCCAGCATCCCATATGTGCATATGTGTGCTGGTTCAAGTCCCAGTTGCTTCACTTCCGATCCAGCTCTTTGCTGTGGCCTGGGAAAGCAGAAGAAGATGGCCCAAATTCTAGGGTCCCTGCACACATGTGGGAGACCCGGAAGAAGCTCTTGGCTCCCAGCTTCAGTTTGGTGCAGCTCCGGCTGTTGCGGCCAATTGGGGGGTGAGCCAGTGGATGGAAGACCTCTCTCTCTCTCTCTCTCTCTCTCTCTCTCTCTCTCTCTCTCTCTGCCTCTCCTTTTTCTGTGTAACTCTGACTTTCAAATAAATAAATAAATCTTTAAAAAAATATTGAGCTTATGGTGTGTAAACAATTTTATGCCTGGTTTTTCATTTAACACTTGTGAGCTTTTCCCTGTGTTGTTATTCCTTAAAAGTGCTGCTTTAAAAATCCTTATATAACATTCTATCATAGGGATCTCTTATGGTTTATGTAACTATTCTCATGTTTGTGGCTCCTTTAAACTAGTTCCAATTGCTAGTTGACCCAGGTTTTGGCTCATGTACTTGGCAAGTCTATTGCCATATTTTTTTTAAAGCACATAACTTGTTTATTTTTAATTATACACGTTTGCCAACTTATTTGATCAGCTGGCCTTCACTCATTCTTTCTTCTGTTCTTGTCAGCATTACGTGTTTTCCTCTTTGGTTTCCCATAGTAGTCATTAAAAGCTTGAATTCTGGGTTTGACTCAGCTCTCAGGTTTTGTATGTACTCTTGGGGAGGTGTGTGTCCCAGTTTCTTCATCTGTAAAATAGAGGTAAGTGTGTGTCTGTCTCAGGGTGGTGACTTAGTGCACTGAAAGCACTGAGAACAGTTCCTGTCATGTGGCCAGTCCGTCTCTGCATTTACTGATGAGCAGCCCCTCTTCCGTCCTACAGTGGCTCTGACTGCATCACCGTAAGCCTGCCTCTTGCTATATTTCATCCATGAATATCTTTAGGGAGAGTTACAAACTGACTTTATCAGACTTAGTGACTTTGTTTTTGAAAGCTCATAGATTTTCTTCTCCCTACTTGTAATAGCAGATGTTTATTGTTTTGAAGACGAAAATTATCTTTGTTTAACCACATTTTTGAAGTGCATACCTGAGCACAAAGAAAGCAGACTGCATGGGCGGATTAGGTTTTAGATCTCTTTACTGGTTTTTCTTTTCCAGTTGAATATTGTCCTGGTTCTTCCCATGCCAAACAAGGCTCTCTGTAATCTGGTTCTGCCTGTGCTGTAGTCTTTTTTTTTTTTTTTTTTTTTTTTCTTGACAGGCAGAGTGGACAGTGAGAGAGAGAGACAGAGAGAAAGGTCTTCCTTTGCCGTTGGTTCACCCTCCAATGGCCGCCGCTGCAGCCGGCGCACCGCGCTGATCCGATGGCAGGAGCCAGGAGCCAGGTGCTTTTCCTGGTCTCCCATGGGGTGCAGGGCCCAAGCACCTGGGCCATCCTCCACTGCGCTCCCTGGCCATAGCAGAGAGCTGGCCTGGAAGAGGGGCGACCGGGACAGAATCCGGCGCCCCGACCGGGACTAGAACCCGGTGTGCCGGCGCCGCTAGGCGGAGGATTAGCCTAGTGAGCCGCGGCGCTGGCCTGTGCTGTAGTCTTGTTCTCTTCGGGGTTGGTCCCAGACCCTGGGCTCCTGCCTGGTTAAGCTGAAACTGGGCATGTGGTTGTGATGATGCTCCTTCTTTAGATCTGTGCCCGGGGCCAGGACTGTGGCATAGTGGAAAAAGCCACTGTCTGCAGTGCCGGCATCCCACATGGGCACTGGTTCGAGTCCCAGCTGCTCCACTTCTGCTCCAGCTCTCTGCTATGGCCTGGGAAAGCAGAAGAAGATGGCCCAAGTCCTTGGGTCCCTGCACCCGTGTGGGAGACCCGGGAGAAGCTCCTGGCTCCTATCTCCTGGCTCCTATCTCCTGGCTCCTGGCTCCTGGCTCCAGATCTGTGCAACTCCAGCCATTGTGGCCATCTGGGGAGTGAACCAGCGGATGGAAGATCTCTCTCTCTCTCTCTCTGCCTCTGCCTCTGTGTAACTCTGTCTTGCAAGTAAAAATAAATAAATCTTTAAATCCGTGTGCCCTAGTTTGCCTCTGCTGAAGGACTGAAGTCACCTGCAATGGTGGAGCTTCCTTATAGGGAGCAGGCTATGAAGTTGCTGGTTGCCTTTTTTTTTTTTTTTTAAGATTTATTTATTTATTTGAAAGGCAAACTTACAGGGACAGAGAGAGATAACGATCTCCCATCTGCTAGTTCAGTCTCCAAATGGCTGCAATGGCCAGGGCTGGACCAGGCTGAAGCCAGGAGCTTCAATCTGGTCTCCTATGTGAGTGTCAGGGCCCAAGTGCTTGGTCCTTCTTCTGCTTTCCCAGACACATTAGCAGGGAACTGGACTGGAGGTGGAGCAGCCAGGGCAGGAACCCAGCCACATATGAGATGCCAGCATCTCAGGTGCAGCTTAACCTGTTGGCCATAATGCTGGCCCTGGAAGTTGACTTTTGTTGTGGGGTTGGAGAGTAGCCTCAGGGAAACTGGAGTTCTCATTGGCAATGTTTGGTCAGTTTACCAACCCTTGGCTATGTTTAATGTCCCAGGGTTCTCGCTGCCTATTCTGCCTCCTCTTTGTTGTTTTCTGGGTACTTTCTTTCAGAAATAAAAGCCTATTCTACTGATGTGTTTTCCTTTTAGGGCAGGATCCTAGGATACCAGAGTGGATGCACCCTTTGGCAATTGGCTGCGACCTGTACTGGAGAGACATCCAGGAATGATATTCCTGGGCTTTATTTCTTCATCTTGGGATTCATCCAGTTCGTCCCAGAAACACTGATCCTCTGCTTTCTGTGACATACCTTCAGTGAAGATCCGATGGACAATGATCTCCCCATGACCTTGTGGCTTTTTTCCTTCATGTGGAAGTTGGAAGACAAGGTGAAAGAGGCCAGAGATTACCTGCTTTGGTGAATAGGAGTGCTGCACTTGGTTCTCAGAACATGGGCCCTCGTTTAAAGGTAAGGTGACTGGCCATGTTGAGAGTGATTGGGAAGTAGAGCATGGATCCAGTGAACAGTTCCTAAGCCTTGGCAGAGCAGTTTTGAGTAGGAAGAACCAGTTCTTCATTTTTGGAAAATAACTTTTTCTCAACTGATTTTCAATTTGGAGGCTTAAGTGAATGTGATGTTGTAATTATACATCTTTACCCTTCACAAAAGCAAAGGTTTTTAAAATACAAAAGGGTACTTCAAAAAGTTCATGGACATGCATATGGTGAAAACAGTGTGCCTGACGTTCATTTTTTTTTTTTTTTTTTTTTGCACCAGAATAACTAACCTTTTAATTCCCTTTCCCATGAGCTTTTTGAAGCACTCTCTTAGCATGCCAGCCAGCTTTCCGATGTTCCCTTGGGCAGGTATTTTCAAGATTCTCCCCCTTTCTGCGAGTGCTGCGAGCCAGAGTGCTGCAGTGTCAAGCAGACTGCCCAGAATCCTTCACTAGCAAGTGATATTGCTGCACTAGATAATTAGTCCTGCATTTTTGTCATGTTTTTTATTTTGAAAGATAAAAAGGTCATCAGAGTTTATACTTCTAATTTTAGCCTCACTGTGAGATTCCTCACCGTCAGATTGGGTAATGTTTTTCATGCTTTGTTTTACCTGTTTTCTTAAATCTTTTCTCTTTCCAGATACTTTGCTAAACCCATGACTTCATCGTTTTTCATGATTCAGTGTTGTGTGAGGTTAAGAGCACTGGGCTTCAGAGTTAGACACTGGCTTGAGTCTCAGCTCTGTCACTTAACCAGCTGTGAGATGTTAACATTTCTAAGCCCAGCTTTTTTTTTTTTTTTTAAGTGTCTGTAAAGTGAGATTTATAGTGCTTATTTCACCAAGTTGTTGTGATAACAATTACAGTACTTAGGCTAACACATTTAAAGCACTTAGGACAGTGTTTGGCCTGTGATACGGCTTAAGAAAGTGGTAGAGAGTTATTGGTTTAGTTACTACTACTTTTATTCTGCTAGCTTCCAGTATCACAGTTTGTTAAATTGTATAAAGGTAGGACAAGAGATGAATTTGAAAACACCCAAAATACTCTTATAACTGTATTGTGTGAAATGATATGGGAGAGGCTTGAATTGTAGATGCGGAAAGAGTACCAAAATAGGCAGGCGCCGCGGCTCAATAGGCTAATCCTCCACCTGCGGCACTGGCACCCCGGGTTGTAGTCCCGGTCAGGGCGCCGGATTCTGTCCCGGTTGCTCCTCTTCCAGTCCAGCTCTCTGCTATGGCCTGGGAGTGCAGTGGAAGATGGCCCAAGTGCTTGGGCCCTGCACCCATGTGGGAGACCAGGATAAGTACCTGGCTCCTGGCTTCGGATCAGCGCGGTGCGCCAGCCGCAGTGCACTGGCCTCAGCGGCCATTGGGGGGTGAACCAACGGAAATGAAGACCTTTCTCTCTGTCTCTCTCTCTCACTGTCCACTCTGCCTGTCAAAAAAAAAAAAAAAAAAAAGAAGAAGAAGAAAAGAATACCAAAATAATTTTATGCAGGAGAAGTGTGAGCTGTTGAAACAGGGTGCTGTAGAAAAATACCCGGCGTGAGAACTCACTACCCTAGTGGTGAGTATTTGGTAACATGTTTGTTGAACAAAATTCTCAACTCTTGGACTGAGGAGTTTATAATCCTGTTTTGTGTGAATATACTGCTGATTAGAGAAATCTATTGACACTATACCTGAAAAAGTTTTATCTGGAAAATTCCTGACCCTTAGACATTCTGGACAAAAGAATAGACATTTGACACTGTCCATTCAGTAGAAATTTCTTTTTTCCTTTTTTTTTTTTTTTTTTAAGATTTATTTATTTGAAAGATAGAGTGACAGATCTTCTACCTGTTGGTTCATTCTCCAAATGGCTACAGCAGCCCAGGGCTGGGCCAGGCTGAAGCTAGGAGCCTAGAACTCCAGCTAGGTCTCCCATGTGGGTGACAGGGGCCCAGGTACTCGAGCCATCTTCTACTGCTTTCCCAGGTACATTAGCACCTCCCAGGGAGCTGGAATAGAAGTAGAGCAGCCAGGACTTGAAATGACGCTTATATGGGATGATGGCATCTCAGGTGGGAGCTTAACCCACTGCACCACAACACCAGCTCCAATTCAGTGGAAATTTCATCCATATTCATTGCAGTTACTATATGCAGTTATGTTGAAGGCTTTAGAGTATTTTTAAGTCTCCTCCTTGTCTAATATTATTCACCACTCGGAAATGAAAAATCAAATGAGACTAATTGAATATAAATGCTATATTTATATAAAAACAATGTGTAGAAATTCAGAGGAGGAAAGAAATTTCTACAGTGAAGATCAGGAGGAAAGTATCTTCCTGGACCCTAGGATCAAGAGGTGTTCCACGGACAGAGACTGAGGAAGAGGACAGCTTAGGCAGAGAGGGTGACTTGGAAAGTATGTGGATGAGATTTTTCAGAGCCTGTATATAAAAGTGAAGGTGAGGGATGGGGAACCTTTTTTCTGCCAAGGGTATTTAGGTATTTATAACATCCTTTGGGGACCATATAAAATTGTCCACCTAAAAATTAGCCTGCTATAGATTTATTGAATTCCAAGTCCCACCTGTGGTTGCCTTAGGAGGGTCAGACCAAGTGATTTCAGGGGCCTTATCCAGCCTGCAGGCTGGGTGTTCCCCCACCCCTGGTATAAAGGATCTGATTTGGACAGATCTTGGCACAAATGTGAGGTGTTGTGGGAGAGGTAGCCAAGGAGAATAGTGTGGAGTAGTAGCAGTGGAGATAGAACAGAACAGAGAGAGCCTCTTACCAAGTCAGTCAGAAAATGGAAAATATCTATCAAACAGATGAAATCTGGCATAAAAGTGATTTGAATGAAAGAAATTGGGAGACTTTGTGACAATATTTAGGAGGACTCAGAAAGAGGGAATATGTAGAAGGAAAAAAAGATAAGAATATGACCAGGGCTAAAATTGGAAGATGGGTAAATGTTGTTGGGGAGGTTTTGAGAACTGTTGGAGAGCAGTGGGATGTTTTGTAAAGGTTAAATCAACAAGTAATGAATTGGCAGAGTTAATTCATAAGGAAGAATTAAGAAGAGAAGAGAAGTGGGCATTTAGCTTAGCCTAGTGTTCCACATAGGAGAGCCTGGGTTTGATTCCCAGTAGCAGACTCCAGCTTCCTGCAGATGTAGCCCCTGGGAGGCAGTAGTGATGATGACTCAAGTTGTTGGGTTCCTGCCCACCCTCGTGGGAGACCTGGGCTGAGTTCCTGGCTCCTGGCGTCAGCCTGGCCCCAGCTGTTGTATGCATTTGGGGAATGAACTAGCAGGTGGGAGCCTGCTCTGTCTCTCTTCTCTCTGCCTGTCAAACAAATACATAAAATTTTTAAAAGAGAGAAGAGAAGAGAATTATTTGGAAACATGTAGCAATTGATATACTGAATTTTAAATAATAAAAAGAATTGGGATAGAAATGACTTATTGGAAAAGGTGCAGATTAACATCAGTACTGATGATGTGGTTGAAAAATCAGTAAATGGGGAGAAATGGCAAAGATTTAACAAGATAAATTTCTTTACTGCTTGCTTCCCAAGAGCTGAGACGGAGGCTATCGTGTTCTGCCTGTTCCCCCAATACCTGGCATGTTAAGTTAACATTCAGTATTGGAGGAATTATTTTAGTTGTGTTTTTAACTCTTTGTTCTAAAACTTTTTAGACAGTATTGGAATATGACAGAATTGTGTAAAGAACGTTCATGCAGGCTGAGAATTTAGGTGCAGTGAGAGCAGTGCATATTGAACTGTGGACCAGTAAAGAGGTTCTCTGTTTCCTAACAGTCTGAGGCAGGGGAGTACTGCTACTATTGATACTAATTTTAATGTCTCAAATAGTTCTCAAAATTTTGAGAACTCACTGTATACCAGGCACTGTTCTAGGATGTGTCTATGTGTTAACTCATTTAATAATCACAGCATCCCTTTGAGTTACATGTGTGTGTCATCCCCATTTGACAGAGAAATGGACATCCTGTGTAGAGGAGATGAAACAACTTGTGCAGGGTCACCTTGTCATGGCAGAGCATGGACTTGAACTGTAGTGATCTAACTCTAGAGCCTACGCCTTCATCTCTGTATTAGGCTGTTTGATGTACTCTTCGATGTGCAGCCTGGATGGCTAAGGGGAGTTAATTGAAGGCATATCATACTGAAGGACATGGGGCCATAGAAATTATTAACTCACAGCTCACCAAGCACATCCCTAGAAGATATATCCTATAAGGTGAAGATAGATGCTTTTTAAGAGTTGACAGCACTTTTTTTTTTTTTTTTAACGATTTATTTATTTGAAAGGCAGAGTTAGAGAGAAGCAGAGGCAGAGAGAGAGAGAGAGTAGTCTTCCAACTGCTGGTTCACTCCCCAGTTGACTACAACGGCTGGAGGTGGGCTGATGGGGAACCGGGAGGCAGAAGCTTCTTTCGGGTCTCCCATTGGGGTGCAGCGGCCCAAGCCCTTGGGCTATCTTTCACTGCTTTCCCAGGCCATAGCAGAGAGCTGGATCAGAATTGGAGCAGCTGGGACTCAAACTGACACCCATATGGGATGCCAGCACTGCAGGTGGCGGCTTTACCTGCTCTGCCACAACACCAGCCCCAGCAGCACCTTTCTGAGATGATAGCAGCTTTTCAGCATAGAGTCCCAGGGGATGAAATACTTGTTGGGAAAGAGACTCAGTAGTCTTGACCACTCCTCAGATTACCTACTCTCTGTGCATTCCAATGAGTATATTGGTATCAAAGGGACTTAATGGTCCATTTTCTGTCTCTAGATTTTTTTCAAGCATAATCAGACATAAAAGCACATCTTGCAAAACAAACAAAACTTGCTTGCTTTGGTGTCTCCAAGATTTGATTCTAGACGTTTTTAACCTGTCTTGTCTCTAGGTAATATTCTGGTGTTGATATAAGGTTCTCAATTGAGATAACATGGATAACCTTAATATATATAGACTTAAAAGGAGTGGATTCAGTGCATTGTAGAATGGACTGTATCTCCAGCCTATACTAAGATCAAACTCGGTGATACAATATGAATGTCAGCATACATTTCATTTTTCCTGGGTGGTACCTTTAGTGATTCATATGACCAAATGAGTAATGAAGGTTAAAGTCTTGCTGGAAATGAATTTGATGACAAAGTTTCCCCTCAAAATCTGACCTTGGCAGGTTTCACTTAGGATGAGAAGTACAGGGTCCTCCTCTGTTCCTCTCCTTGGTCTTCCTGCTGAGCTCATCTTCCAGGGGGTCCATTAGTTTGTCTGATTGGCAACAGAGTAAATGACTTCTCCTACATGCCCACTGCTTATTATGGGATGACCTGGAGTTCATTCTAATTGCATAATTCAAACATGATGAAAAGAATACTTTTTAAAAAAGATTTATTTATTTTTTTGAAAGTAGAGTCATAGAGAGATCTTCCATCTGCTGGTTTACTCTCCAAATGGCCGCCAACAGCCGAGGCTGTGCCAGGTCCAATCCAGGAACCCGGAGCTTCTTCCAGGTTCCCATGGGTGCGGGGGCCCAATCAACTTGGGCCATCTTCCACTGCTTTCCTAGTCCATAGCAGGGAGCTGGATCAGAAACGAAGTAGCCAGGACATGAACCAATGCCCATGTGGGATGCCGCGTTGCAGGTAACAGTTTTACCCACAGTGCCACAATGCTGCCCTGATACTTAACTCTTTTAAAAAAATATACTTTTTATTTATTTTATTTTGCATTTTTAAAAAGAATTATTTTATTTCTTTGAAATACAGAGTTACAGAGAGAGATAGAGCCAGAGAAAGAGAGGTCTTCCATTCCACTGCTTCCCTCCCCAAATGACCACAAGGGCCAATGCTGAGCGGATCCGAAGCCAGGATCCAGGAGCTTCCTTCAGTCTCCCACGCGGGTGCAGGGGCCAAGGATTTGAGCCGTCTTCTACTGCTTTCCCAGGCCATAGCAGAGTGGATCAGAAGAGGAGCAGCCGGGACTTGAACCGGCGCCCATATGGGGTACTGGCACTGCAGGCAGGGGCTTTAACCCACTGCACCACAGTGCTGGCCCCCAAAAATATTTTTATGTAGCTATTTCTACTTAGCTGAGTTACTTCCAGAGGGCAGATACTGTATAAGGGGAAAATATTTCCATTATTCTCTTTGCTTGTACTAATTGGCACCATTTTGCATGGGGGAGGGTAACTCTCTTGGGAGCCCTGGATCTAAGAAGATGAAAGCTGGGTTGCTGTCTTTTGTAATTAGCAATAGAACCGGAGGCTGTGTGTGGTACTCCTAGGTGGCCAGAGGATTGCAAGTCTTTAGGGAGAATGATGCAGTGTCTCACTCTTTTTCTGAAATATGTCATAGGGCACCTGCCAAGCTAGAGAGAAGGAACACAAGTAGGAAGGGTTGGGATTAGTGAGTTGGTTGGCTTAAGCTGTGTGTTCTGCTGTGTCTCATCCTGAGATGGCTGTGGGGACGAGCCGCAGAAAAAGACTAAACAAGTTTTCTTTTTCAGCTGCAGCTGTGATCCTCGGCTGTCTGTTGGCGTTGAAGGGACCTAATGTTTTACGTTATTGGTACGTTATAGAAAGAGCTCTCCTTATTGTCTTTTTGTCAGGGTTGCTTAGGTCACTTTTGCCTCCCTGGCTACCCCCATTCCCCTTGAAAGAGAGCTAGAAATATTTCTAATGGCGCTACAGTGTGCCTTCACAGAGTTGGCAGAATTCATTCATTTGGGAAATATTTATTAAGTACTTATAGTCAGCACCAGACACTGTTTACTGTGGAGTCAAAGTTGAATAAGGCAAAAATCTGCCTTCAAGGAGTTTGTAGCATGAAGCAGGAGATGGTCAAGAAGGAGAAGTTACGGCAGATGAATGTACCAGGGTTTGAGGAAGCCCAGAAGAGGGAACTCTTAACTTTGCTGGGGTTGGGGGAGTACATTGGCCAAGGGAACATGGGAGCAGAAGGCTTGCAAGTGGAGGGAATCAAATGTATTTTCTTGTTTTGCTTCTGTGAGGGTCTGGCACACACAAGGAAGGTGGGAGAATGGGGGAACATTATGCTGTGTAGTTCAGATATGAAATGGGGTTCTGCAGACTTGTTCTGTAAGAGGCAAGTTAGTAAATACTTTTGGTTTCAAAGGCCCTGCAGTTTCATTACAGTTACTCAGCTCAGCCAGTGTGGTGCAAAAACAGCTGTAGACCGTTTGTAAACAAATAGTGTGGCTATATTCCAGTAGAGCCTGATTTTGGAAGTAGGTAGTAAGTCAGACTTGGCCTGTGGCTGCTGTCCCCTGATGCGGAAGTTCCTCTTTGGCTGCAGTGGTAGGGACCTGTGCAGTATTTCTTTGGCAGTTGTGCCATTTCATCCTGACTTCCTTAAGTTTTTTGAGAGATGGCCAGCCTGTTCCATAATGAGAAGTTGTAATGGCTTGTGTGTTTTCTCTTTCACATAGGTGGCATCACAGTGTCTGTGGTTGCATTCTTCTTCACAATTAAGTTCCTCTTTGAGCTTGCCGCACGTGTAGTCAGCTTCCTCCAGAATGAGGACCGTGAGCGCCGAGGGGACCGGAGCATTTATGACTACGTGCGGGGAAATTACCTGGATCCCCGGTCTTGCAAAGTCTCCTGGGATTGGAAGGACCCCTATGAGGTGGGCCACAGCATGGCCTTCCGAGTGCATGTAAGGGCATGTTTCTGTCTCCACACCCTTTGGGGTTCTGAGTCATTTGCTTTCCCTAGAGCCCAGTTCAGGCTTTCAGTAGTGCTAGCCTGGAATGTTGACATTTTCTCTTGTTTTTCTTTTCATTTTTTTTTTTTTTTAAGATTTATTTATTTGTTTGAAAGGCGGAGTTACAGAGAGAGAGAGGTAGAGGCAGAGAGAGAGAGAGGTCTTCCATCCGCTGGTTTACTCCCCAAATGGCCACAATGGCCAAGACTGGGCCAGGCCAAAGCCAAGAGCTTCATCCAGGTCTACCACGAAGGTGGAGGAGTGCAAGTATTTGGGCCATCTTCTGCTGTCTTCTCAGGCACATCAGCAGGGAGCTGGATCAGAAGTGGAACAACAAGGACTTGAATTGGCACCCATATGGGATCACAGGTGGCAGCCCAATCCACCACACCACAGTGCCAGTCCCTGTGTCCCTTTTATTGGAACTCAGCCACACCTTTTCCTAGTGTGTGTGTGTTTTAATATTGCAAAGAGGCACAGCATCTGAGAATAAGCTTTTTCTTTTCTTTCTTTTTTTTTTTTTTTTTTTAAGATTTATTTATTTGAAAGTCAGAGTTATACAGAGAAAAGGTGAGGCAGAAAGAGAGAGAGAGAGTTCTTCTGTTGATTCACTCCCCAATTGGCTGCAATGGCCAGAGCCGTGCCAATCCTAAGCCAAGAGCCAGAAGCTTCTTCTGGGTCTCCCACGTGAATGCAGGGGCCCAAGGACTTGAGCCATCTTCTACTGCTTTCCCAGGCCATAGCAGAGAGCTGGATCGGAAATGGAGCAGCCAGGACTTGAACTGGTGCCCATATGGGATGCCTGCACTATAGGCGGCGGCTTTACCTGCTATGCCACAGCACCTGCCCCATTCCTTGTATATTGATTATGGCTGCTTTCCCACTTGATAGTTACGTCCAAAAATACATATTATCTGCTCCTGCACACAGAGAGTTTGCTGACCTCTTCAGTGAGCTCACCACTGTAGCATTAAGCTGGGCGTGTGTTAGAACCTGCGTCCCCTGCCCCCACCCTTGCCTGGTGCGTGCCAGTGCTGCTGGCTGACTTACTTTCCTTTAGATTTGAGTTAGCATTGATAATATGCTGTAAAGGGTTCTAAGACCACGGAGGCAGCATGTGGTTCAGAAATAGAAAATTAAAGTTTAAAATTTGAATTTGCTCTTTCTGCACTTTCTTGATTCAGTGGTGTGTTCTGCCTCTGTCCCTCTGAGCAAGTCGAGTTTGGAGAGCATGTGTTTCTCTCTGGGTTTCTGGGCAGGATGTTAGGAGCAGGTAGGTACTGGGGTTTACTGGTGTGACCTCTACCAGCTGCCTCCTCTCTCCCCCACACTCTTCTGCTTAAATGGAAATTGGTTCTCTGTCCCTGCTCACTAACAGGTGTCCCTCTTCTCCTCACTGCAGTTATTCTATAAGAACGGGCAGCCTTTCCCCGCACATCGGCCTGTGGGACTGAGAGTCCACATCTCTCACGTTGAGCTGGCAGTGGAGATTCCAGTGACCCAGGAAGTCCTTCAGGAGCCCAACTCCAATGTGGTGAAGGTGGCCTTCACTGTGCGAAGGGCTGGACGCTATGAAATCACCGTGAAACTTGGCGGATTAAATGTAGCCTACAGTCCCTACTACAAAATTTTTCAGCCTGGTAGGTTCTCTGTTCTTTTTCCCTGTTCTTCCCCACATCTCCCTCACTCCTTCTATCCCCTCTTCCTTTCTTTCTCTCTCTCTTTATTGATTTTTTTTTTAAATTTATTTATTTGGAGGCCAGCATTGTAGCTTAGCAGGTTAAGCCACTGCCTGGTGCAGGTTCCAGTCCTGACTGCTCCACTTCCAATCCATCCCCTTGCTAATGTGCCTGGGAAAGCAGTGGAAGATGGCCCAAGGAACTTAGGCCCCCACACCCACATGGGAGACCTGGAAGAAGCTCTTGGCTCCTGGCTTTGGCCTGCCCCACCCCCGGCCATTGCAGCCATTTGGGGAGTGAACCAGTGGATACAAGATATCTCTATCTCTCCCGCTATCTCTCTTTAACTCTGCTTAAAAAAAAAAAAAAAAGTGGCCAGCGCTGCGACTCACTAGGCTAATCCTCCGCCTTGCGGCACCGGCACACCAGGTTCTAGTCCTGGTTGGGGCGCCGGATTCTGTCCCGGTTGCCCCTCTTCCAGGCCAGCTCTCTGCTGTGGCCAAGGAGTGCAGTGGAGGATGGCCCAAGTGCTTGGGCCCTGCACCCCATGGGAGACCAGGATAAGTACCTGGCTCCTGCCATTGGATCAGCGCGGTGCGCCGGTCGCAGCACGCCAACCGCGGTGGCCATTGGAGGGTGAACCAACGGCAAAGGAAGACCTTTCTCTCTGTCTCTCTCTCTCACTGTCCACTCTGCCTGGAAAAAAAAAAAAAAAAGATTTATTTACTTTATTTGAAACACAAATTAGAAAGGCCAGGACTGGGGCAGGCTGAAGCCAGGGGCTTCTTCTGGCTCTCCTACATGGGTACAGGGACCCAAGTGCTTGGGTCAACTTCCCATGCTTTCCCAGACACATTAGCAGGGAGCTGGATCAGAAGTGGAACAGCTGGGATAAAACCGGTGCCCATATGGGATGTCAGCATCATAGGTGGTAGCTTAATGTGCTGTCCCATATCTTCTGTCTTTAAATGATGCCTTATTGAGATTTAATTCACATTTAAAACAATTTATCTACTTAAAATATAGTTTAATGGTTTTAAAATCCATAGTTATACCACAGTCAGTTTTAGAGTATTTTCATCACCTGCCCCCAAAACCCCAGATCCATTAGCAGTAAAACCACTAATCTGCCTCTGTGAGTTTACTTCCTCTGGACATTTTACATCAGTGTAATCATCAAATGCATGGCCTCTTGTGACTGGCTTGATTTACTTCATGTAATGCTTTTAAAGTTCATTTTTGTATTGTACCATTAATAGTGCTTCCTTTCTGTTCATTGCCAAATGTTCTGTTGTATGGATAGACCACTTTTTATTTATCCTTCATCAGTTGATAGATATTTTGGTTGCTTCCACCTTTTGGCTAAAATAAGTAATGCTGCAATGAATATTTGTGTGCAAGTTTCTATGTGGACATACTTTTTTTTTTTTTTTTTTAATTTTTGACAGGCAGAGTGGACAGTGAGAGAGAGAGACAGAGAGAGAAAGGTCTTCCTTTGCCGTTGGTTCACCCTCCAATGGCCGCTGCTGCAGCCGGCGCACCGCGCTGATCCGATGGCAGGAGCCAGGATCCAGGTGCTTTTCCTGGTCTCCCATGGGGTGCAGGGCCCAAGCACCTGGGCCATCCTCCACTGCACTCCCTGGCCATAGCAGAGAGCTGGCCTGGAAGAGGGGCAACCGGGACAGAATCCGGCGCCCCAACCGGGACTAGAACCCGGTGTGCCGGCGCCGCAAGGTGGAGGATTAGCTTATTGAGCCACGGCGCCGGCTCAATACGTTTTTATTTCTCAAGGAGTAGAATTGCTGAGTCATTAGCCTGGGAGATTTTTAAGGGCCGAGGATGCCAGGAAGGACAAAAAAAAATTCTTCTGATGTTTGAAACATTTTCAAGTGAAAGCACCTTGACCTTAATTCCTACCTTTGCTGCCAGTATGTGTTTTACTTCTGAGGAGTGCTTGCCTAAGCTTCTGGTATCTCAGAGTTGAAGCCTTTATCTCTACATTTTTTCCCTTTCCTTGCCTTTGTGCCAGATAACAGATGCTGTTTTTTTTTTTTTTTTTTTAAGATTTTATTTTATTTATTTATTTATTTATTTGAGAGGTAGAGTTCAGAGAGAGAAGAGGGAGAGACAGAGAAAGGTCTTCCATCCACTGGTTCACTCCCCAAACGGCCATAACAGCCAGAGCTGAGCTGATCCGAAGCCAGGAGCTTTTTCTGGGTCTCCCATGTGGGTTCAGGGACCCAAACACTACTGCTTTCCCAGGCCATAGCAGAGAGCTGAATCAGAAGAGGAGCAGCAGGGACACGAACTGGCACCCATATGGGATGCCAGCACTGCTGGTGGAGGCTTAGCCTACTACACCACGGCACTGGCTGTTTAAAACACAGCTCACTGTTTAGAAGTATAATTTCTGACTTTGGTCCTGCAGATATACTTTAATGTATCAAGATCCTATCTGCCCTGTGTTCACTTTCTGGCTTCCTTTTAAGGGTGTCCTTAAAATACTGGTCCGTTGGGTAACCACAGCAATGACTGGATCTTGAATACTTTTGAAGCCAAACCCTAGTGAGTTGGACCTTAAGATTTGTGTATCTTTCTTTGTCTAGTCCTCAATTTTGTTTTGTTTTGTTTTTTTTACTTCAAAAGAATTTTTATTTGACAAGTATAGACAGAGACAGAGGGAGACACAGAGAGAGCATGAGTGCACTCCCATCTGCTGATTCACTCCCCAAATGTCTGCAAAAGCCCCTGGCTGTGGCTGAAGCCAGAAACTGGGAATTCAATTCAGGTCTCTCATATTGCTGGCAGGTTCCCAGTCACTTCAGCCATCACCGTTGCCTTTCAGTCTGTATTAGCAGGAACCTCAGATCAGGAGCTAGAGCCAGGGATCAAAGCCACGCACTCCAGTGGTGAAAACAGACATTTTACCCGGGTTCTTAACCAGTAGGTGAAGAAATAATGCAGAGATCTGGTGTACCCTTTTCCTCAGCGTAACATCTTTGAACCAGACGATTGGCACTGGTACAGGGAAGATCCAGAACATTACCACTGGCAGAGTGATCCTTTGACAGCCTCACTCATTTCCCCTCGCCCACCCACCTAGTTCTTAATCCCTGGCCTCCCATTAATCTGTTCTCCATTTTTATAATTTTGTCATTTGAAGATATTATAGAAGTAGAATCATATAGTGTGTAACCTTTTGGGGTGTACATTTTTTTCACTCAGCATAATTTTCTGGAAACTCATCCAGACTGTTGAGTTTATTAATAGTTGGTGCCTTTTTATTGATGAGTAGTATTCCTCGGTCTAAGTGGACCACAGTGTGTTTATTCACCCTTTGAAGGATACCCAAATTGTTTACAGTTTTTGATTATGGTGAATAAAGCTGCTGTAAGCATTCATGTGCGGTTTCTGTGTCAATACGTTTTCATTTCTCTGATACAGATGCCGCGTGTGCAGTTTCAGAGATGAATGGCAGTTGCGTGCTTAGTTTTTTTTTTAAGGAAATTACCAAACTGTTTTTCCAGAGCTGCTGTAGCATTTTACATTTCCACCAGCAATGTAGGAATGATCCAGTGTCTCCACATCCTTGCCAACATTTAATATAGTCATGATTTTAAGTTTCAGCCATCTGAGTAGTGTGGAGTAGCATCTCATTATGGTTTTAAATTTGCATTTCCCAAATGGTTAATGATATTGAACATCTTTTCATGTGCTTGCCATCATCTGACCTCTTTGTGGAAATGTCTGTTCATGCCTTTTGCCCATTCTCTAATTAGATTTAAAAAATTTTTATTGTTGAGTTTTGATAGTTCTTTATAGGTTCTGTATACCAGTCTTTTGTCAAATATGTGGTTTGCAAATATTTTCTCCCAGTCTGTAGCTTCACTTTTCATCTTTATAACAAGCTTTCATAGAGCAAAATTTTTTAATTTTGATGGAAGTTCAGTTTATCCAGTTTTTCTTTTATGATCATGCTTTTAATGTCAAGAACTCTGGTCCCACATCATGAAGATTTATTCTTCTGTTTTTTCCTAAAAATTTTATAGCTTTATGTTTTGTATTTAAGGTCATGATGCACTTTCAGTTGTTTTTTTTTTTTTTGAATGTGAATCTTTTTTTTTTTTGACAGGCAGAGTGGACAGTGAGAGAGAGAGACAGAGAGAGAAAGGTCTTCCTTTGCCGTTGGTTCACCCTCCAATGGCCGCCGCTGCAGCCGGCGCACCGCGCTGATCCGATGGCAGGAGCCAGGATCCAGGTGCTTTTCCTGGTCTCCCATGGGGTGCAGGGCCCAAGCACCTGGGCCATCCTCCACTGCACTCCCTGGCCATAGCAGAGAGCTGGCCTGGAAGAGGGGCAACCGGGACAGAATCCGGCGCCCCGACCGGGACTAGAACCCGGTGTGCCGGCGCCGCAAGGTGGAGGATTAGCCTATTGAGCCACGGCGCCGGCTCGAATGTGAATCTTGATCCAAGGTTCTTTGCAGGTTTTTAGTTATACACAGGACTCCAGAAAGTTTTTGAGAATTGGAATTGAAAGATAGTTTCATAGCTGGCATTCAGCAGAGCAGTAAGGCGGCTGCATCCACGTTTGAGTGTGTGGGTTCAGTGCCCTGCTCTAGCTCCCAAGTCCAGCTTCCTGCTAATGTGGATCCCTGGAGGCAGCACTGATGGCTCAGGTTACTGGGTCTCGGCCACCCTTGTGGGAGATCCAGATTGAGTTCCCAGCTCCTGGCTTCAGCCACAGGCAGGCCATTGCAGGCATTTGGGGAGCAAACCAAATGAGGGTGGTGTGGGAAGGGAGTTCTTTTTCTCTCTCTCTCAAATAAATGGAGTTTTTTGTTTGTTTGTTTGTTTGTTTGTTTTTTTAAGATATGCTGAGGCCTGTGCTATGGTATAGTAGGCTAAGCTTCCACCTGTGGCACTGGCATCCCATATGGGTGCTGGTTTGTGTCCCAGCTGCTCCTTTTCCTATCCAGCTCTCTGCTTATGGCCTGGGAAAACAATGAAAGATGGCCCAAGTGCCTGGGCCCCTGTGCTCACGTGGGAGACTTGGAAGAAACTCTTGGCTTTGGATCGGCTCAGCTTCTGCCATTGCAGCCATTTGGAGAGTGAACCAGTGGATGGAAGACCTTTTTCTCTGTCTTTACCTCTCTCTCTCTCTGTAACTCTGCCTCTCAAATAAACAAAAATAAAATAAAATCTTTCAAAAAAGGCGGCGGGGGGGTGGGTACCCTGTGACTGGCTTTGTGACTTACTGGGTAAAGCTGCTACCTACAATGCTGGCTTCTTGTCCCATATCAGTTCAAATCCCAGATGCTCTACTTCCAATCCAACTCTCTGCTAATGTGTCTGGGAGAGCAGCAAAGGATGGCCCAAGTATTTGAGCACTTGTGTCCACATGGGAGGCCTGGAAGAAGTTCCTGACTCGTGGCTTTTGACCAGCCAAGCTCCGGCTGTTGCGGCCATTTGGGGAGTGAACCAGTGGCTGGAGATCTCCCTCTTTTTCTCTGTCTCTCCCTCTCTCTCTGTAACTCTGCCTTTCAAATAAATAAATAAATCTTTTATTTTTAAAAAAGAAGCTTATTTTAGTACAAAGGATTTTGATATCCATGATATGATGGAAAATGCATTATGAAAAAAACTATGCATAGATTTTGAATTTTTTTTGCACAAAGGTAAACATCTCTTAATTCTACGTTTGCATGAACTTTGTGAAGTCCCCTGGTTTGATGTGTGGTTGTACCAACACCACTTGTAGAGAAGGCTGTCTTCTGTCCCTTGCACTATTTTTACACCTTTGTCAAAACTCAGTTGGGCATGTTTTCGAGGGTCTGTTTTCTGAGTTCTCAGTTCTGTTTCATTCATCTGTAGTTTCTCCACCACTATCGTGGAGATTGATAATATTTGTATTAAGTCTTAAAATTGGTGAACTGACTTTTCCCGCTTTCTTCTTCTTTTTTCAACATTGTTTCAGCTACTCTATTTTCTCTGCCTTTTCAGAGACATTTTTAGAATAATTTTGTCTAAATCTATAAATAATCTTGCTGGAACTTTAAAGAATTGTGTTAAGCCTGTGTGTCAATTTGGTGAAAATTGACTTAAAAAGAAAAAAAGATTTATTATTTATTTGAAAGTCCGAGAGAGAGGAATAGAGATCTTCCATCCTCTGGTTCACTCCCCAAATGGCCACAAAAGCCCAGGTAGGGCCAGGCCAAAACCAGGAGCCAGGAGCTTCTTCCAGGTCTCCCACATGGGTGCAGGGGCCCAAGGACTTGGGCCATCTTCTACTGCTTTCCCAGGCCATAGCAGAGAGCTGGGTCAGGAGTGGAGCAGTCAGGACCTGAACCAGCACCCATAAGGGATACCAGTTTTGTAGGTGGTGGCTTAACCTTATGCCACAACCCTGGCCCTGGAAATTCACATCTTTACTGTGTTGAATAGTTCTATTCATAAACATGATTTGTCCATCTATTTATTTAGAGTTTGTTGTCGTTGTTGTTTGCTTCATAAATGTTTTGTAGTTTTCAACAGATATGTTTGAGTTAGACTTATACCTGAATGTTTTGTATGTTTCTTTTGGGGTGTGTGAGTGACTGTTTTTCCCCAGCACTTTATTTATTTATTTATTTATTTATTTAGCTTTTTTAAAAGACTTATTTATTTGAAAGACAGAGTTACAGAGAGAGAGGTAGAGCCAGAGAAAGAAAGGTCTTCCATCTGCTGGTTCACTCCTCAAATGGCCGCAATGGCCAGAGCTGGGCCAACTCGAAGCCAGGAGCCAGGAGCTTCCTCCAGCTCTCCCACACAGGTGCAAGAGCCCAAGCACCAAGAGAGCTGGATTAGAAGTGGAGCAGCTGGGACTCGAACTAGCGCCCATATGGGATGCCTGCCCTACAGGCAGTGGCTTTACCTGCTATGCCACGGTGCAGGCCCCAGCACTTTATTTTTAAGGCCCACTTCACTCATTGGTTCCCAGTGGGGACTCTAGACACTGTATATCTCACTCTCAGTTCTGTTTTATCCAGATTTCTTTTCTTATTCTGTTTATTGCTTTCAGTGGTTAAGAATTTGTAAAAATAAGTGCCCAAAATTCATTTGAATTAATCTGTGTTTTCTTTCTTTCCCTTTCCCTTTATAGGAATTGGGAGTGGATCCAGCTCTGTAGACTCCCTAAGAAAATCTTTGTGTCCTAAAGAGTACCTCAGTAAATGTTAAATTCCAGTGTGTTTTTTCCAGGAACGGTGGTTCCTTCCAAGACCAAAATTGTGTGCCATTTTTCTACTCTCGTGTTGACCTGTGGGGAACCCCATACCCTTCAAATAGTGCCCCGAGATGAGTATGACAACCCTACCAACAATTCCACATGCCTTAGAGACGAGCACAATTACAGTCTGTCCATCCGTGAGGTAAGTAAACGCTTTCCCTTTTTCCTCTGTGTGTGGGAGACCAGGCGCCTCTCTCGTTCTCCGCCCTTCTATTCACTTCCATCTCTGGCTCCTTCTCCCTGACTCCTGTGCTGTCGTATCGTCATCTGGCAACACCTGTCTCATTAATAATTGTGAGACTTAGGTCAGACCGGAGGTGGGCAAGCGCTTTATGAAGTGTTTTGTAAATATGGAAAATTTCTTAAGTAATGCCTTGTTTTCTTCCTGTAGCTTGGCCCTCAAGAAGAAGAGAGTACTGATGTCTCATTTGAGAAGTCAGTGACATCCAACAGGCAGACTTGCCAGGTGTTCTTACGAATCACCCTTCATTCTCGTGGCTGTTTCCATGCCTGCATTTCATACCAGAATCAACCAATCAATAATGGTGAATTTGACATTATCGTCCTAAGTGGTGAGTTGAAAGAAATGATATGATTTAGTCTTGTTCTTGGCCACTTCTTTGCACGTCTGCTCTTTTGACTGGCCTCTCAGACATAGGTATTTGAACCACAGTCGGCATTTCCCATGGACCAAATGTAGGACTAGCAGTAACTTTTTCTCCCATGATTCCTACTTGAACCTTTATTTCCTATTGCACTTCAGAGAATGAGAAGAATATTGTTGAGCGCAATGTGTCCACTTCAGGAGTGAGCATTTACTTTGAGGCTTATCTGTACAATGCCGCCAACTGCACCAGCACACCATGGCACCTGCCACCCATGCATATGAGCTCTTCCCAGCGCCGGCCTTCCACTGCTGTTGAGGAAGAAGATGAAGACTCACCCTCTGAGTGCCACACCCCCGAGAAGGTGAAGAAGCCGAAGAAGGTGTACTGCTACGTGTCACCCAAGGTTGGAACGCTTATTCTGCTGTCATACCCCCTGCCTGGGCTGCATGCAATTGGTATTGGGTAATAGGAACCACAGTGTAACAGTCTGAGTATCAGAGGGCAAGATCGGTGACTTAGAGGATCTCTGGGATACGCAGACAGGCTGGTTAAGGTTGAGCAGAACATCGTGCCGCCTCTGCCACTGCAGATATTTGGTTTGGACTAGACCAGCTCTGTCTCCAGTCTATGAGTCCCGGTGCATTAAAGCTCCTGTGACATCCCACAGTTAATTGCTTCTGGGAAGAGTTTTCAAAGCATGGCTCTCAGAGTTATAAAAAAAATAAAAAATTACTTTAACCACTAGAAATTTCTCACTGATACAAAAATCACTGTTGGCCGTTTGTGCTGTGTGGAAACAGTTTGATCTTTCATTCTGTGATCTGTGAAAACCACTTTAATAAATGGATGTCACTTGTCAGGCTACAACATGGCAATAAAGAAATTTTGGCAGAGACAAGAAGGTGAAATTCCCAAGCCCCTGAGCTTAGAGGTGCTTTGTGTTAGAGTTTCTTTCTGATATTTGTATTTTCTTGTTCATTCAGTCCTCATAAAAATGAGAGTGTTCTGAAACACCTCATTATATCCTTTTAATCTCATAACCAAAACTCAGTTCTAATTCTGTTCGACTTCAGAACACTTTACCGGGCCTCATTCTTGATTTTAAAACCTAAACCTATCCTTAATTTGGGCCGGAGTTGGGGGTGGTGATGGGAGAAATGGGTGAGGTGAATAAATGAAACAGAATGGACTCTGGATTGATAATTGTTGAAATTGGTGATGGATTCATTATACTGTTTCCTCTCCTGTAGTATGTGTTTGAAATTTTCTATAGTGAAACATCTGTTTAAACTGCTTTGCATTAAGAAAACAGGTTTATTTGTAGATTAAAAATCTATTATGTTGCCTTTTCTTTCTTTGTAAATGGCTTAAGAAGACTTGCATATTCTTAAAGGAGTTAATTCTGTGAAATTTTCGTATGAGTCCTGTCCCCATTGCACTGGACTTCAGCCCCCTCAGCCCCCATTTCTTCCTTCCTCCACATCCCTTTGGTACCATTCAAATGGAGATAAGCACTGGGCTGTGGGTGTTCCCTGTCCACTGACTTGGAGGAAGTAATTCTGAGCAGCACCAGGCTGAGCAGGAGGTTTGATTGCATCCAAGTGAAATAGTCTCTACTCACAAAAAACCTGGTCTTCAATATTTAGAAATTGCACTGAGTAATAAGATTATAAAATGTGTCTGCGAGGACTTGCATGGCCTTCCTAAAGGTAGAGTTGATGTATTTATTTGATGTTAGTGCTAACTAAATTATCCTTTTTGTCTCTGCTGTTTTAGCTATAATGCACAAAGAAAACCTTTTACTTCTCATTCACTTCATTTTCTGTATGTCGACCCTCCAGCAATTCTCAGTGAAGGAGTTCTACCTGAAAATCATTCCCTGGCGCCTTTACACCTTCCGAGTGTGCCCAGGAACAAAAGTAAGTTGGCCCTCAGACCTAGCTCAGGCCCTGCAGGCTTTCTGCTCTGCAGTATTTCCACCTTTTCCTGTTCCCAGAAGGCCTTGTGGTAGGGCTTGTGGTGTTTCTGGATGTTCTCATTGCAAACACAGGATTCCTTGCTAAATTACAGGCTGTTACTTCCTCACTAAATGGCATGAAGAACGTGTAAGTCTTAGAAGGACTTGGGCCTACAGAAACAGGAATTGGTAGCAATGCAGAATGCTTTAACAATTATCTTTGTCTTGGCCGGCGCCGTGGCTCACTAGGCTAATCCTCCACCTAGCGGCACCGGCACACCGGGTTCTAGTCCCGGTCGGGAGGCCGGATTCTGTCCCGGTTGCCCCTCTTCCAGGCCAGCTCTCTGCTGTGGCCCGGGAAGGCAGTGGAGGATGGCCCAAGTGCTTGGGCCCTGCACCCCATGGAAGACTAGGAGAAGCACCTGGCTCCTGCCTTCGAATCAGCGGGGTGTGCCGGCCACAGTGCGCCAACCGTGGCGGCCATTGGAGGGTGAACCAACGGCAAAGGAAGACCTTTCTCTCTGTCCCTCTCTCTCACTATCCACTCTGCTGTCAAAAAAAAAAAAAAAAAAAAAATTATCTTTGTCTCCAAGACTGTATCCACAAAGAGGGTCCCAGCTTGGTCTCCCCGGGTGCTGAAGCTACCTCTTGAGATGCAGTGTTTACTCACTTTCCTCCATCCAGTTTGGAGTAGTTATTTCTTGATATTTTGTATATCCTTAACAGCTTTCGCCTATCTTATGTTTTATGTTGTGCATCTGTAGTGTTGCCTGTGATCCTTTCCAAATGTGGTCTCTACAACTTAAATAATTTGAAATAAAATTTGAATTATAGAGCACTGAGGTGAAAAGATGTATTCCTGGTACTTGGGGGAAACAGCTTGACTCGCTTTTGTTGGTTGGAGGAGTTTTTGCTGGAATTGAAGGTTTCCTAGGGTTGCTTTTTTCCCCCCACTAGTTTTCATACCTTGGCCCCGACCCTGTCCACAAGCTCCTCACACTGGTGGTGGATGATGGCATTCAGCCTCCTGTGGAGCTCAGCTGTAAGGAGAGAAACATCCTGGCAGCCACTTTCATCCGCTCCCTCCATAAGAACATAGGTAAGGTTGGGCTGGGATTCTGATGGACAGGACTGCCAGCCTAGCTCCCCTGGGGGCCTGGGACTGTGGAGGTGGGGTTCCACAGAGGTCTTGTAGTGACTGTGCCCTTGCTGGGCCTTGCTGCTCCTCAGGAGGCTCTGAGACCTTTCAGGACAAGGTGAACTTCTTCCAGCGAGAGCTGCGGCAGGTCCACATGAAAAGACCACATTCCAAGGTCACCCTGAAGGTCAGCAGACACGCCTTGCTGGAATCGGTGCGTAAAATGTCCTGTCTGGCAGCAGATGCCAATGTTTTCCAACTAAAAACTTCATTTGTCTTTGGTTGTATCTGTAAGTTTTCTTTTCTTATGAAACCTGAATTTCCCTCTTTACATATGCCTGTAAATGGCCATTCTTCTCTGCGAATGACTGGGGCAGGATGTTGGAGGTGTGTTATTGGGGGGGACTAGCTTTCCAGTCTGCACTGGACTCGTTCCTGAACATTCTCTTGGAACTCCTGTGTAGGGAGGTGTAAGTTGTGGTTCCAAAATAAAGTTCTTGTTATTCAGTCCCTGGGATAGAAAAGCTCTTATTGGATTAAAGGGAAGTGAGTTTTGTTGTTCCTTGGGGCTGATGGAAAAGGAACACCTGATATGTGTCTGTCTCCACCGCACAGACGCTGGCATAGTTCTGACATTCCCTGAGCGTGAGGAGGCTTGGTCCCTGTCCAGAAAGTATTTGTGATGTTTGGCTCTGGTAGGTGTGACTGGAAACCTTTTTTCTCAGCCACATTCTCTCGTGTGGCATAGCTCCCTGTCTGAACTTTGCCTTGTGGATAAAGGTGTCTAGTGGCTTTGTTGAAAACCAGGATACCAGGGGCCAGCATTGTGGCATAGCAGGTTAAGCCTCTGCCTGTGATGCTGCCATCCAATATGGGTACCGTTTCAAGAGCCGGCTGCTCCATATTTCATCCAGCTCCCTGCTAATGTGCCTTGGAAAGGAGCAAAAGATGGCCCAGGTGCTTGGGCCCCTGCGCCCCTGTGGGAGCCCTGGAAGAAGTTCCCAGCTCCTGGCTTTGGCCTGGTACACACAGTCCCTGGGGAGTGAACCAGCAGATGAAAGACCTCTCTCTGTAACTCTCTTTCAGAATAAATAAATATTTTTTAAAAAGAGATGTATTGGTTTATTTCAAAGCCAAAATGAGAGGGAGGGAGGGAGGGAGAGAGGGGGGGAGGGAGGGACAAAGGGAGAGAGAGAGATCTTTTATCCACTTGTTCACTCCCCAGATGGCTACAATAGCTGTGACTGGGCCAGGCCAGCAGGAACCTAGAGCTCCATTTGGGTCTCCCACGTGGGTGGCAGGGGCCCACGCACTTGGGCCATCTTCTGCTGCTTTCCACATGCCTTAACAGGGAGCTAGATCAGAAATGGAACAGCCAGGACTCAAACCCGCACCCATATGGGATGCTAGCATACAGGCGGCAGCTCAACCTAATGCACCATGACACCAACCCAGTATGTGCATTTTGAACGTGAGATGGTACTACACTTCTTATGAGTAATGTGTTTCCACCAAGTAGTAGAGGTTTGCTCAGCAGACAGCGGCAGTGCTGTTGTGGTTTCGTCTGTAACACCCAAGGAATGCCCGCCAGTGTTCTGATGGTTTCCTTTCTTTCACTGTTTTCTAGTCTCTGAAAGCCACTCGGAACTTCTCCATTTCAGATTGGAGCAAGAACTTTGAAGTGGTTTTCCAGGATGAAGAAGGTTAGTTTTGAAATTTCATATTCTTTTTAAACTCTGGTCCCTGTTTCCACCCTCTTTCATACTGTGTCTCTACAAAACAGCAAAAGCAACCCCCTCCTCACAACTCTCTTAAAAAAATCTCCCTGTTTTCAAGGGAGAAAGAAACCATGAGTCAAGAAAAAACCGGGGTAGTGTTTACCAGCCACGTGGCCTGGTGGAGACGGCAGTGCACAGAGACTGGACAGGAGGGCTCTAAGCATTTGGCTCAGAAGGGCAGAGTGACCTTTGCAGAACAAAGAAAAACGGCTGTTTCCTGGGATCTCTGATCTCCTGTGTTTCCAGGCCTGGAGGCATTTGCTTAGTGATCAGAATCCCTTTAATCCCACAAAGAGGCTTGGAATTTCCAAAAACGTTCACTGTTTCATTGAGTTGCAGTGGTGAAGCAAAGGCAGTGGAATGGGTGGAATGAGGACAGTATTGGATGATAACTACCAGACAAAAGTGATGAGAAAATAGGCCAGAGTCACTTTTTATTTTCGTTATACTTTTCAGCTCTGGACTGGGGAGGTCCTCGCCGGGAATGGTTTGAACTGATCTGCAAAGCACTGTTTGATACCACCAATCAGCTCTTCACCCGATTCAGTGACAACAACCAAGCATTAGTGAGTCTGTGACTGCCCCACAGCGGGTGAAAAGTGTGGACTATATTATAGTGGATATATCAATAAGGTTTGAAGGTGGGAAACTGCTCAGGGAGTCTGACACCCCAAGTTCTTACAGTGTGGGCCAGTCTAGTTGCATCCCTCTGTCTTGGACTCACTATTTCTTCTCTAAAATAAGAGAAAATACAGTAAGGTCAATGTTTGACTAGAGAGCAGCAGTGCAGTGGCCACTCTGTTGATTTTTATTGTAATAATTAAGCCACTTCCTCAAAATGTGCCTGAAGCCAATGATTTCTGCACTACATCTTTGACTAGGTAGAAGTCAGGAGTGGAGAAGGTCTTTATCTGAAAGAAGTTCTAGTTTAGGGAAAAGGCATCACATCCATGCTCAGCCGGGGACCACAAACTTCATACAGGATTTCTTCAACTTCTGAGTCCATCTTCACCCTTTATCCACTGGTCCCTATGAAGTACTCAATGGTGGCTGCCTATAGGCTAACATCATTTGGATGGGCCTTTTGATCCTCACATTGAAATTTTTGTTCCCTTAGCTTAGAGTTAAGGATGGAGGATCTTTCCAGAACTGGAGTTGAAGATAAGTGGCCCAGAGCCTTTCAGTGTCTTTCTTTTTGACAGGTTCATCCCAACCCTAATCGCCCTGCTCATCTGCGCCTGAAGATGTATGAATTTGCAGGGCGGCTGGTTGGCAAGTGTCTCTATGAGTCCTCTCTCGGAGGAGCCTACAAGCAGTTGGTCCGAGCCCGCTTCACCCGTTCTTTCTTGGCGCAAATCATAGGACTGCGTATGCATTACAAGGTAACATCTCAGATGTGCATTTCCTCCTAAGGTCCCCGGCTGTTAACTCTGTAATCTCTCCCCTTGAGCTGATTACTCTTAAGGTTAAAGGGATAAGTGATTCTACACAGTTAAAAAGTTTCATTTCTGGGCAAGGGCAGTCACTCATGTTCTGTTCTGTATCTTTCTACCCTCTCAGTACTTTGAAACAGATGACCCAGAATTCTACAAATCCAAAGTCTGCTTTATCCTCAACAATGATATGAGTGAGATGGAGCTGGTCTTTGCAGAAGAGAAATATAACAAATCAGGTCAATTGGATAAGGTGAGAAGGAGGACCAAAGCCTGTGGGTCCCGTGTTCCCCAGCTTCCTTCCAATGGAAATGTGGTATATTTTTTATATATTTTTTTTTATTTGACAGGTAGAGATATAGATAGTGAGAGAGACAGAAAGAAAGGTCTTCCTTCCATTGGTTCACCCCCCAAATGGCCGCTACGGCCGGCACTGCGCTGATCCGAAGCCAGGAACCATGTGCTTCTTCCTGGTCTCCCATGCGGTTGCAGGAGCCCAAGCTCCTGGGCCATCCTCCACTGCCCTCCCAGCCACAGCAGAGAGCTGGACTGGAAGAGGAGCAACCGGGACTAGAACCCGGCGCCCATGTGGGATGCTGGTGCCGCAGGCGGAGGATTAACCAAGTGAGCCACCACGCCAGCCCCAATGTGGTATATTTGTCTTGTTTATTAAGTACACTGGAAGGTGGCAAGTGTGCCAAAATAACTGAATTCCCATCTTATCCTATTTTACTTAATTATTTTATTTTTTAATATCTTTATCTATTTGAAAGGCAGAGAAGAATATCAGTTTTCCACCTGCTGGTTCACTCCCCCAAATACCTACTATAGCTAGGGCTGGGCCAGGCTGAAGCCAGGAGCCAAGAACTCAATCTGGGTCTCCCACATGGGTGGCAGGGACCCACGTACTTGAGCCATCACCTACTGTCTCCTAGGGTCTGTTTGCCGAAAGTTAGATTAGAAGTGGAACCAGGAATCTAACCCAGACCTTGTTCTATGATATGGTATGTGGATGTCCCAATCTGACTTAACCTCTATACCAAATGCTCGGCCCTTTTTAAATTAATTTAGTAACTGCATTTGGCTAGTGACTGCCATACTGGACAGTGTAACTGTAGGGCCTTGCATTCTGGTCTTTTATGAACTGAGTCGGGGCAAACACATGTGCTTATCCAGCCTGCTGTTTCTTCATCCCAATTGGATAAGAACTGAGTGATAATGAAGCAGCACTGCACAAGGAAGACTTGGAAGGGTGGCAGTGGCAACGCAGCAGCTTCCTGTGTGTTTTAAAACCATATTAGAAAGTATTGGTCAGAAGTTTCTGTGAGGCAAATGTGCTTCTGTTTACATTGTGGGGTAAATAACATCAGAAGATAATGATGAAAGTAGAGTCGCAGGAATACATAAACATACTAAAAACAAGAGAGCAATGATTGAGGACGTGTGACCATTGGTACTGCTCTGCTGAAAATCAGATATCCTTCTGAAAATTGTGGGTGTCCCAACCTCTGCCTTTGTGCACGTGGGGTCAGAGCCCGTCTTCCTGCCCCAGCACAGCAAGTAGTGCCAGTAGAATACTGGTCCAAGGGAGTGCTCGTTTTCACTGGGTTCAATATGAATCCTAAATGTGAATTGACTTCTTGGGCTACTAGAGGGAAATGCTTACATGAGAGAAATATCCAGAATTATGCCCATAGAAATATCCAGAATTATGCATAGGAACAGGAAGAAAGTCACATTTTGAATCCATTGAGAAGCCCTGCTATGGAGGAACATGCTGTTCCTGTTATGTTTTCATGATTTTAAAATCTGATTTTGTAATTTAATGGCGGCCTTCATTCACCTTTGGAGACAACCTTGGTCCCTATACGCATTTTTTCCAGTGTGGTAGTTTTATACTGCTTCAGGGATTCCTCAGAATTCCCTTAGGAATGGTCTGTTAGAAGATGCTGATTCTATTTGAGAGTCTGCAGCTTTTCAGCATTTTCTTTGCAGAGAGGAACATAAGGGGCCCAAATGGCTAGGTGACTAGCAGCAGGGCGGGGATTACAGTTCAGGATCTCCAAGTTTCTTTTTCTTTTTTTTTTTTTTTTTTGACAGGCAGAGTGGACAGTGAGAGAGAGAGAGAGACAGAGAGAAAGGTCTTCCTTTGCCGTTGGTTCACCCTCCAATGGCCGCTGAAGCCTGCACGCTGCGGCTGGCGCACCTTGCTGATCCGATGGCAGGAGCCAGGTACTTCTCCTGGTCTCCCATGGGGTGCAGGGCCCAAGCACTTGGGCCATCCTCCACTGCACTCCCTGGCCACAGCAGAGAGCTGGCCTGGAAGAGGGGCAACCGGGATAGAATCCGGCTCCCCGACCGGGACTAGAACCCAGTGTGCCGGCGCCGCAAGGCGGAGGATTAGCCTAGTGAGCCGCGGCGCCAGCCTAAGATCTCCAAGTTTCAAATCATGGCTGCTTTCCACTCACTCACATTGCAGATAGAACAATGTGCATGATCAACTGTCCAGTCTTGGAATTCCTAAGGCATAAGAAGACTTCTTTGTTACTTATCTGGCTTTGTTTATTCTCAGTTGGTTTAGAGATGAGATCAGTAGAGGTCTGGATTATAAAGTATCTTCCCGTAGGTCTGGATTATAAAGTATCTTCCCGTTGCACCTCCACTGGTTAACTGTGTCTGTGAAGACTTCATCCAGATCCCCACTTCAGGGATAGGAGCTGGTGGAGGCCGGTGTTGTGGTGCAGCATATAAAAAGTTGCCACTTGTGATGCCAGTATCCCATATGAGCTCCAATTCAAGTCCTGGCTGCTCCACTTTGGATCCAGCTCCCTGCTAATGTGCCTGGGAGTGCAGCGGACGATCATCCTGGTGCTTGGGCCCCTGCCATCCGTGTGGGAGACCTGAGTAGAGTTCCAGGCTCCTGGCTTCAGCCTGGCCCAGCCCTTGTAACCCACGTGGGAGACCCAGATGCAGTTCCTGGCTCCTGGCTTTGGTCTGAGGCAGTCCCAGCCATTGTGGCCATTTAGGGAATGAACTAGCAGGTGGAAGACCTCTTTCTGTGTCTCTCCATCTCTCTCTGTAACTCTGGCTTTCAAATTAATAAATGAATCATTATATATTAAGAAAAGAAATAGAAGTTAGTGGAATACAGCAATAGTGGCAGGAACCCTGAAGTGCAGGAACTAAGTGAAACCATGTGTGTCAATCAGATGAATGTCTAGCAAGGACTTTTTTTTTTTTTTTCAAGATTTCTTTATTTGGGGCTGGTGCTGTGGCGTAGTAGGCTAAACCTCTACCTGCAGTGCCTACATCCTATATGGGCACTGGTTCTAGTCCCAGCTACTCTTCTTCTGATCCAGCTCTCTGGTATGGCCTGGGAAAGCAGTGGAGGATGGCTCTGGTACTTGGGCCTCTACACCAGCATGGGAGATCCAGAGGAAGCTCCTGGTTAAATTTGAGAAGCAGAGTCACAGACAGAGAGGGAGAGACAGAGAGATAGGTCTCGCATCTGCTGGTTCACTCCCCAAATGGCTGTAATGGCTGGAGCTGGGCCAATCCGAAGCCAGGAGCCAGTAGCTTCCTCTAAGTCTCCATGCTGGTCAGGGACCCAAGCACTTGGGCCAGGTTCCACTGCTTTCCCAGGCCATCAGCAGGGAGCTGGATTGGAATTGGAACAGCTGGGACTCAAACTGATGCCCACATGGGATGCTGGTGCCACAGATGGAGGCTTAGCCTGGTATGCCACAGTGCCAGTCCCAGCAGGAACTTTTAACAGACACTGACAGATTCACTAATGCTGGGTTTGTGAATGTACCAAGCAGGTGTCAACTTAGAAACTTCATCCACGACCCCTCCTTGTCTCTTTGCCTCCTATTTCAGGTAGTAGAACTCATGACAGGTGGAGCTCAAACGCCAGTTACCAACACGAATAAAATCTTCTATTTAAATTTGCTGGCTCAGTACCGGCTGGCCAGTCAAGTGAAAGAGGAAGTGGAACATTTCCTAAAAGGTGGGATCCTATCTACTCTTGTATGTGTCTACATCCATGTTGTGAGAATGGCTTTAACTGGCTGCTTTGTTTCAGGCCTCAACGAGTTGGTCCCTGAAAACCTGTTGGCTATCTTTGATGAGAATGAACTGGAGGTAAGTGCTGTGCCTGTTGTCGGTGCTGTGTTTTAGTGCACACCCCACCCCCAGAGCCAGCCGGTTGTCTTTCCTGTCATGAGATGCCACAGGAAAGCTCCTAATGCAAACGTTAGCTTCACCTTGTCATTCTTGCCATTCATTGACCCTTTCTTTAGCTTTTTACATTTAGAAAGTAGAAAATAGCTAATTATTTATGAAGATAAGTACTGTTCACTTAGTCATTAAGTATTATGGATAGCTATTGAGTTGTAAAGAATGTTGGTGTTGGGCACAGCCTTCCTGGATTCGTGAGTGCCTCCTGTGTGCTGTGCCTGCCCAGGCACTGAGGAGGTGGACAGTTTAGCCCTCGTGGAGCTAGCGAGGAGACAAATCACAAAATGTGGCCATATTGCAAAGTTTTAGGTCACAGCACTGTATATATTTACATATTGGTAGTAAATATATTCTTTTTTCAGATCCAGCAACAACAAAAGATGGTAAATACCCTTATTCTGTAATTATCAAAACTGGAGTCCATGTCAGATGTGGGCAGAAAATGCAGTTTGTTTTTACCTGCTGCTCACAGATGACGCAAAAGGCGCAAGTTGCTAGTTTAAAGCTCTCATAGCTTTTGTGAGGAGTGTGTTTTGCAAATTGTAGGGGAATAGTAGTTTTATATATAGGGGAAAAGTAGTTTCAGGTAGTCTTGAACCAGTCTCAGTAACTGAACTGGCTTCAAGAACAAGAATCAAACTGTTGTATACCTTCAGATATGAAATCCAAACAAAATGAATTCTCCACATCTCAGTCTAGTTGTTTCATTTTTAGATTTTAAGCAGCTTTATCGAGCTATAATTGCATACTGTCTCCAGAGTTTCTGATAGCCTGTCACGTAGCACTGTTAGTTTTGGGACTGAGGAATGGCTACTTGCTGATTTTGTTGTATTGTGGAGCAGAGCATTTGTACCAGTTTGCAGTAGTGAGTGGAAAGGAAGGAAGGACACAGTCTCTGACAGTTGTTCCACATCCTGCTCTAGGTTACGCATTGGCCTAGCAAGTTCTTCTTGAAGGAACCAAGACTCCTGAGGCATCCTTTGGGCTTTTCTTGTCTCTTGATTAGGACACATCATTCTTTATAGCCACTGGACAAGTCTGCTAAGTAACACGCTGGATCCTGAACCAAGTTTGGACATCAACAAGATGTCCAGGGCTCTGATGTCATTAATGTTCTCATGTTTTGGCATGCTTTTAAATTTATCTGATCAAGTAGGGGCAGAGCTAAGGGAAGGTGGTAAAAGTTCAATTCACAGATGAAGGAAGGATCCTGGAGAAAAGTAAAGGCCATCTGACAAATTCATAAACAGGACTGGGGTCTTCATTAGAGGGAACAGCTGGCCTTTTCTCCCCAGGCCAAGTTCAGAGCAGACTGCCCAGTAAATGCCTGGTTCTTTATTTGTCCTTTGTTTGAGTTAAAAAGAATCCTTAGTAGCAGTGCTTAGTTAGGGGTGCTCATCAGAGAAACCTGGGAATCTTTTCCAAGCTGCACAAGCTCATAACGGGTCCCTAGAGATTCTGATTCACTAGGTCTGGCATTGATAGGGCCACACGCATCTCTACTTGCATATTTTTATAAGGCTGTTTGATTATTTTCCTCCACACTGGCTTGGAATCATTGGTGTATTATAATTGATTTTCCTAAAGAGAGATTTTGCATTTTTCATATTAACATAGGTAATTTTGACCCTGTAGTGGGGTTTTGTCCCTCTGACTGTCCTCGTAACACCTGACCTTCTTCTCCAGCTGCTGATGTGTGGGACTGGAGACATCAGCGTGTCTGACTTCAAAGCCCATGCAGTGGTTGTGGGCGGCTCCTGGCATTTCAGGGAAAAGGTGAGCGGCCTTAGCTTCTTTCAGCTGGATTTATGCCAAGTTACAAGGAAGACGGTCAGAAGAAAAAGTCCAAGAGGACTCAAAGCAGTAGACATGTTGGCTGAGAACAAACGATGCGTGTGGGAAATACCAGTGGTTGTCCAGGCAGAGGAGAGCCCTGTTTCTTGGGGCTGTCATGCCGAGTGCCATGGGAGCAGGAAGTTGGACATGCAGAGAACGAGAGCCGATTGATGAGTGACGACTCTCCTGACCACAGGGCCTTGCGAACGCCTGGAGAGGGGTCAGCCCTCAACCTTCCTCCCCATGTCCGTGCAGGGCTGTACCTGCACTTCAGGGTGTCTGCTTCCTCTCCTGGGGGTCAGATATTAGGCAGCTGGGATTGGTGTGTGACTCTGACCCTGTGCTCTCCCTCCAGGTCATGAGGTGGTTTTGGACTGTGGTGTCCAGTCTGACCCAGGAGGAGTTGGCTCGGCTCCTTCAGTTCACAACAGGCTCCTCTCAGCTACCACCTGGGGGCTTCGCTGCACTCTGCCCCTCATTTCAGATCATCGCTGCTCCGACCCATAGCACGCTACCCACCGCACACACATGGTGGGTGTCTGGCCGCCCAGTGCATGCCCTTGCCAGTGTTCCTGGTGGTGTGAGTGAATCACTTCTCTGCTTGCCTTTTCAGCTTTAACCAGCTGTGCCTCCCGACGTATGACTCGTATGAAGAGGTGCACAGGATGCTGCAGCTGGCCATCAGCGAGGGCTGCGAGGGCTTCGGCATGCTCTGACTGCTCTGCCGCCCCCGCTCCGCTCCCACGCCCCCACGGCGCATGTTGCAGACTGCAGAACCGCGGACTCTGACACACACAACCATCAGCAAGAAGATGCCGCATGCTCCCCTGTGTCTGGAGTATTGTGTCACCTCCAAGGCTTGTTCTGACCTCGGCCCCTCCCTGCCCAAACCCACCGCAGGCCACTGTGGCATGGTACAGAGGCTGAGCTCCTCAGTCAGCCACGAGAAGAGGACCGTGCTGCTCTCATTTCATTTGGTCCTTCGAAGGTCTCAGGAGCTGGGACTGCCGCAGTAGCCGTGAGACGTGGACGGGCTCAGCTCTGTGAGGAAGCTGGTGTGCAGAGAGCCTTAAGTCCCCGCCTTGCCCCAGCTCCCTCTGCTGATGCTCCTCGGAGGTGTCCTTTTGGCCCTCACGACTTGACCAGACTAGTACTTGAGTCTCGTGGCTGGGAGAAGCCCAGATGGGAAGTGGCCCGTGTGAGCAATCTGGGTTAGACCCCCTGCACCATGGCAGGCACAGCCCATGGCACTGGACCGCTGCTAATGAGGACAGATGGTACAACATGATCTGTTCTTATGGTGTCACAACTGGAAAGGCACTTTCCCTGCAGGCATTTCTGGAAATGATCATTAATCCATAAAGGAGAACTCTCTAAGCTTTTTCTTGAAATTGAGCCAGTGAGAAAAAGTCAGAGTGAAGGCTAACTGTGTTGAGGCTCCAGTGCTGAGAGTGGTTCTTGCTTTGGGTTAGGGGCTTGTCTAGGCACACGGCTGCTAGAGGACTGCTTTTCCCTGAGTTTGTTCTTTGCACTGAGGTGTGGCTGAACCTGGCCACTGACCTCTGAGTCAGTCTGCTAAGAGCTGGGGTGTCTTTGGGCTTCTACTGAAGAAAATCTTGTAGCCAAGGATTGGCACAGTAAGAGTAGCATGCCCGCAATCCCTGGTTCTCTCTGCCTGGAGCACTGAGCAAGGAACAATGCCCGTGGGTCCCTGGGGTCAGGACACTGGGGACAGAGAGGAGAAGGGTTAGACAGTAAAAGCTTCGCTGTTCCTTGTGCCTCCCTTCGCTCCCTCCGTTACCGAGAAGGGGAGTGAGGGAGGGAGAGAACTATATTAAGTTCACTGTTGCTTGATGATGGAAGAGAACCTGCTGCTGTCTCATGGAAAATGACAACATCCTTGCTCATGATACTGTTTGAAAACAATTTCAACACTCAGAATCTCATCACCTTCCCTAACTTCTGTTAAGAAGGCTTTGCCGCAAGCTCCCATTCCCTGTGGGACATCAGCCCTGGGAATATTACAAGCCATCTTGATTGCCAAAACCAGCAAACACAGAGTCCGGAGGCAGGCAGGACTGTGGCAGTGCCTCGGCCTCCTCGAAGCATGTCTGAGCCCTCCTGGATCAGGGCCGTGAGGAACAAGCCCCTCGGAGTGCTGCGGCTCCTGCCTGACCTCTCTCCTGCACAGTGGTCGTCTGTCCTGTCCTGTCCTGGCGTGGGTGCTGACCTTACTTGTTCTTGGGGCCCAGGATCCAGCATCACAGCTCTACACCCCAGGATCCTCCATGCCACATGGTCACTGCTTTCCTCAGGGACCAGGACAAGGTGCTGCTGCTTGGCCAAATTTTTCCCATGGGATATGTACAGGAAAGTTTAATCCTCGCCGTGGGAAACATGACGCTGCCCCTCGGGCCCAGAGAGGGCGTCCCAGCTAGGGGCACGTGGGCTGGTTCTGCTGTTTTTGGCCATCATTTCTCTCTTGGATCCTGCATTCTCCCTTCCAGCGGCTCTCCAGAGACTGATGCTGGAGATGGAGTTGATTTTCTTGGCTAGATCTGTCACTTGAAGGCCTAGTCATAGCACTTCTCACAGCATCCTCGGCACCACTGCAGCCCACCTGGGCAGCTGCATCCCGTGGTGATCCTGAGACACCAGGGTCTTTGTTTAATGAAACCCTTTGGTACTGGTGTGACTTTCTGTTCTTCCAGTTCGTGGTCTCCCTCCCCTCACCCTCTCCTTTGTCCCTATCCCAACCCCCATTCCCCTCCCCCCAATTCAAAATATCTTTGCTGTTTTTGGCCTTTCCTTTTACCATTTTTTTTTCCCCTAATTCTGCTTTGGTACTAGCCAGTGTGAAGAAAAGGTACAATATGTTAGAAGGCATGGGGGTGTTATTTCTTGGGCAGTGTTCATGTTTCTTATTTTGGCCAGTTCTTTAATTTATGTCCTTGTGGCCCAGGTACTTTGTGTGTGTCGGGGAAGTTGGGGCTGCCCTCCCAGCCTTTTAGTGTCTTAGAAGGAGACCAGGCATCAGGTGAGCACCAAGGGGAATGTTGGCATGTTTTCAGAAACCCAGCAGAGACCAAGCCCGGCTGCAATTCATCAGGCCAGGTGCAAGGGCCAGATGGTTACAGCTGACGATGTAAATATTTTGTACAGTAAGTAAATAAATGTCTAAAAGAACTTCAGAGCCAGTGTCTGCTGTTAAGTGGAAATTCAGGACTTAAACTGAAGATGGGGAAGGAAAAGAGTTAGCTATGTTTTTGAACTTCTCCAGTAATTTCTCTGAAATCGGGAGTGGTTGGCTCCAAGTGGACGGAAACCTCGGCCTTTCTGTGGAGCTTGCCCTTTCACCTTTCCCCGAGCGCTCAAGGGCCAGGCAGGCCCACTGCCCTCAGTCTGCCTGGCAGCCATCGAGTGGGACATGCACTTGTGCTCCGCTCCCAGAGAAGAAACCAGTTTGGCAAGAGCTGAGGGTGTGTGTGCTCATAAATATTCTCTTATCACACGAGAAGTTCAGTATAAAAATTGGGAAATAAGAAAATGTCCAAAGGAAGTCAGTCACCTCCCTTCCAAAAGTACCACTGTTAACACTTGACCTTCGTGGAATCCCACAAAACCTGCCCAACAAACCCCTGCCCTCCTGCAGGAGCTCTAGTGATGGCAAACAAAATACCGCTGCTAAAAAGTCCGGGTGGCAGATGTGCCAGCACAGCCGGAGGTGAGCCTGGCAGAGAGAAGCAGGCCTCTGACTGGGGCCTAGAAGTCCACGGACTCTGGCTTTCTACCGGAAGTGATCATGGTGAGGCTCTGGTTCTCACTCTGGGTAATCAGAGTCTCCCTTGGAATTTTTTAAAAGCAGATTGTTAGTCCCACCCCTCCTGACCTACTGAATTGGAATTTTAGGTTGAAAACTCCATTTTGAAAGAACATGCATTCTACTCTCACCCCCTCACGCTCCTGAGTGACATGAGAAGTCTTAAAAAGGAAAACAGAGGTCCATCCTTGTGTGTGGGTATTTACAGCCCTGCATCTTTTGTCCTTGCTGCTCTTGGGGTTTGGAGTGAGTCGCTGTGTCCACCGTTGAGCAGTTTCAGCTCTATCATGACTCTCGGGACTGCTCGGAGCATTCCTGAATTGACACCGTAAAAACTGGCTCCAGCCTCTTGTGCTGTCACCCCCGAGCCGTGGCAGGCAGGGCTCTCAGCTTCTGTGCAGCCACTGGTAGGCCACAGTGGAGGTCCTCCTCAAGTGGCTTGAATCAGCATTTCTTACCTCTCCTTTGGCTTCGTTTAGGTCCTCAAGCATAACGGACTGCTCCAGATAGCCTGTCGTTTGTACAAAAAAGATAACACGAGTCCAAGCATGTCTCACTTAGAAGCAATTATAGAGCCGGCTCCGCGGCTCACTAGGCTAATCCTCCGCCTTGCGGCGCCGGCACACCGGGTTCTAGTCCCAGTCGGGGCGCCGGATTCTGTCCCGGTTGCCCCTCTTCCAGTCCAGCTCTCTGCTGTGGCCAGGGAGTGCAGTGGAGGATGGCCCAGGTGCTTGGGCCCTGCACCCCATGGGAGACCAGGAGAAGTACCTGGCTCCTGCCTTCGGATCAGCGCGGTGCGCCAGCCGCAGCGCGCCAGCTGTGGCAGCCATTGGAGGGTGAACCAACGGCAAAAGGAAGACCTTTCTCTCTGTCTCTCTCTCTCACTGTCCACTCTGCCTGTCAAAAAAAAAAAAAAAAAAAAAGCAATTATAAAGGACACAGGTGTGACTACCATTCAAGGAAGAAATCAGATAGCACGTCCTGCAGAGCAGACACCCGTTCCTGTAGAGGTAAGCTTTATCCTGACTTCAGTGATTCTTTCAACAATCCCCTTTTCATTTTTTGTTATTATTATTTTTGACAGGCAGAGTGGACAGTGAGAGACAGAGAGAAAGGTCTTCCTTTTACCATTGGTTCACCTTCCAGTGGCCGCTGCGGCCGGCGCACCACGCTGATCCGAAGCCAGGAGTCAGGTGCTTCCTCCTGGTCTCCCATGGGGTGCAGGGCCCAAGCACTTGGGCCATCCTCCACTGCACTCCCTGGCCACAGCAGAGAGCTGGCCTGGAAGAGGGGCAACCGGGACAGAATCCGGTGCCCTGACCGGGACTAGAACCCGGTGTGCCAGCGCTGCAGGCAGAGGATTAGCCTAGTGAGCTGCGGCGCCGGCCCAGCGATCCCCTTTTCAAATAGTCGGTCCCAAAAGTCAGCCCAAATGGTCAATTTCCCTGTAGTAATACCAGACCTACAATTGATAGAAAGTCTTCTGAGATGTCCCATGAGAACATAGTCCAGATTCCTGATGCTGAATCCAATTATTCATGTGCTCAGACTGCAAAGTTTCTCTTTCTGTAAAGATTTTTTTTTAAAGATTTATTTTATTTATTTGAAAGAGTTACAGGAGAGGCAGAGACAGAGAGAGAGGTCCTCCATCTAGTGGTTCACTCCCCAGATGGCTGCAACAGCTAGAGCTACGCCGATCCGAAGCCAGGAGCCAGGAGCTTCCCCCAGGTCTCCCACGTGGGTGCAGGGGCCCAAAGACTTGGGCCGTCCTCCACTGCCTTCCCAGGCCACAGCAGAGAGCTGGATGGAAAGAGGAGCAGCCAGGACCAGAGCCTATATGGGATGCTGGTGCCTCAGGCAAGAGCTTTAACCTGTTGCACCACAGCACTGGCCCCTCTTTCTGTAAAGATTTGCCCCAGATCATCTAAACTTGAATCTACTTCACTTTTACACCTGTAGCAGGCTTTATGGGCCGATCTAAATATGATCATGATTCTCCGGTGGCCATCAGAAGACCCTGGAGTGTCGCGTAAGTATTGTAGTATTGGAAATGCCTCCACTGAATTGTCTCCGACACTGTGGAATGGGCCAGTGCTTCTAATTCGGATTTCCGGGGTGCTCTTGATATGTGTGTGTCCGAGTGATTTTGTCTAGTGTTAGCATATACTCTGCTATTAATCCTCACCCACCTGCCACAGATTGTGTGTTTTAATTTTGCGTACATTTATCTAAGAACACTTTGTCTTAGTGAAGTCAGGTGTGGTCTCTACGGGATGCTTGGTGAGGAGGTGGTGGAAGACGCAGGCTGTATGCAGAAGTCAGGAATGGCAGCTGCAGGAGTTTTTTTTTTTAATGATACCCAAGGTGGCTTCAGCAGAGTTGTTCAGGTTGTCAACAGCAGGCGGCAGCGGCAGCGGCAGCTTCTTAACGCACAGGGTGCTAATGATGACATACTCAGAGCAGGCATCAGACACACCAGCCAGAGCCACAGCTGCCAGCCACCTTGAGAGAGCAGACTGGCCCCCCATCTAGTTGCCCTCACACTTTATCCAGCGGGAGGCCTGTGGACGTGGGTGCTGCTTCCTTGGAGCAGCCAGGAAGCAGCCACCATGGCCTTGGTAGTCTGGTGGCCATAAGCACCTTAGGCAAGGTTGGGCTGGCAAACCAGGGAAATTTCTGAGTGAGCAGGGTCTTAGGACCGTGTCTTTTAGGGAAGACTGGGAAGAAGTCAGTGTTGGACTGTACAAGAAGGTAGGAGAGGACACAATTCCTCGTGTCGGCTGCATATCCTGATGGCAGGAACCCAGTTGCATCCTGTGTTTCTGACTGGAGCCCTGGGCCTGACACCCCCTGCGGAGCAGGCGTCTCCCGTTTCTCCAGGAAGATGCCCTGGGACAGTCTGCGTCAGTGTCATTGTGCAGGACGAGGTCCTCGAAGGGTAGGGAGCCAGAGTGATGAGCTCGAGGACTGTCATTTTTCACTCCTGTCGTTCAACCTGGAGTGAGACAGTCTTCTTCAGTATCAGTTTCCTGACCTGCAAAATGGTGCTGTTAACTACCTGAGAAAATCAGCTGGTAACGTGGAGTCCACGGGAAGTGCTTCTCACATACAGGATGGGTGATGACATACCGACCCTGGCTTCCGGCCCTGGTAGTTTCCGCAACAGGAGACCGTGGATCTGGGGCAGTTTCGGGTGGCAGAGTGGGGATGTATGTGGACTGTGATAGCTTGTTTCCCACCGTGGCATGGCTGGGCTGGAGCATGAGTATTCAGTACACCTCGCCCTAACAAGACGACCCCAAGTTAGAAGAAACCTCTTCCCCTTCTTGTGTGACTCCAAAGACCAGAGAAGGTGCATCTGAGACCTGTTCTGTAGGAGGCAGCCTAGTGATAGACTGGTGACCTTGATTTTCCTCAGTTCATCTGGCTACTGAATCATCATAGCTGTCCTTTGGTGTTTGTTTGTTTGTTTGTTTGTTTTTTGAGCTCTTTCTGTGTGGCAGGAGTGTTAATGTGCATTGTCTCAGTCACAGTGACTGCAGGGTAGGTGTGTCTTCTGCATTTTACACAAGGTACCATCCATCGCTGCCAAGGTTCCTTAGCTGGTGAGTGCTGGGGCTGCACTCGAGTGTGGGTCTGTTTGATGTCAAAGCCCCAGCTCCGCATTTCTGGTTTGTCTCTAGCAGATTAGTTTAGACTAAGAAACAGCCCAGGCACTGGGCCACCAGGGCTCGCTGACTCTGCCTCACGTTCCTGGGTGGCGCTGTGACAGCTGATCGCTTCATCCCGTGGTTAATCATCAGTCCCTGTGGATTCGGGATTTATGGGGAGAAGGTCCCGTGCATCCAGGGTAGACAGCTTTTAGGAGGTACAGCTATTAGTAGCAGCTTTAAAATCTTTTGCATGAAGAAAGTACTATAGGATACAAGCTAATGGCTTGAAGTGACATCCAAGTTTACAAGAATACAAGCTCCCTTGAGGATATAACTGAAGGAAAAAAACCTGAAGTTTTAATACCCCTACTTTGGCGGAGAATCCGTAGGTCACGTGCAAATACAGCAATTAGGATGAAGTCAGACTTGCTGCACAATACCCTGATGTTTATCTCTGGTAACCAAGTCTGCAGAAAAAAGACTCATTTGAATAAATCTTTTGTCTGTAAACTCTCCTTACATGAAACAGCACTGTTTGGCATAAGCCAAATTCCTGGCAGATATCTCACAGGGCATGCAGACATTTTCAAGAATGCCAGAGTTAGAGGGAAACACACAATCCAAAGGAGACTGTCTGTGTTGAAGTTGTAAGCACAGTGTCTTCTCTGGAGGGGGGAGCAGCACCTCGGAGATGAAGTCACTGTTTGTACACC